TATGAAAATTTTTTCTCTGGAATTTTTGTAAGAACTTTTATTTTTAAGAAACTCTAAAATAATAAATGTTATTTCTTGTTTCTTATATTTTATATGCATATATTAAGACAATTGTCTTAACATATTGAGTCCAACTACTTTGAATAGTTTTCTTAACACAAAAGGAATTTCAATTCTACATCAGAATATCAGAGATGTATTTAATAACTTTAAAACAATACAAAAGTTGTTTTGTGATAAAAATAACTAAATTGCATATTTGCACTTAGAGATACACATACTAAGCTTGACTCGGAGTTTGTCAATGAAAATTTATACTTTTTATATGAATATAACTTTTTTTTTTTTTATTTATTTACACTTTTGCCAAGAAAAAAAAATTTACAGTCGTAACTTATAAAAAAAATAATTACATGACCGGGGCTAGAAGAAGACAAATTTAGTCTTATCATTAAGCCCCCAAAAATGCGTTTTTACTAGACAAAATATAGTTTGACAATAAAATATAGTTTCAATGTATATATCTCTGATTTATATTATAAAAGAAAATTTAAATATATCGCATATCGTTTAAAATTTATAGTTTTTCAAAGAATAAGATTTAACAATTGTTTTGTAAAATAAAAGAAACAAAATTTAATAAAATATTAAAATGACAAAAATAACATTTAAGACTTGGTTTGAAAAAATAAGAAGATATGATTTTATATAAAAACGTTTTATTGGTAGAGCATTTTATAGTTCAACTTATTTAATTATATTTATAATACTTTTCATTGCCAATTAAGTAAAAGCAAATAAACAGTATAAAATAAAAGTAAAAGATTAATAAACAACGCAAAAATAAAAAATAAATTTCTCAAAAAGAAGATTATCATTTAAAATAATAAAAACATATGTACAGTTGTTGATTAATTATGTATTAATAATCTAAAGTAATTAATTAATTAACTATTAATTATTGATTTCTAATATAAAGAAGTTTTATTAGAAAAAATTTAATTCATTTTCAGTTAACAAAAGTAATTGCTTAAGTTTTGTTTTGAATTGGTTTAGAGAATAATTAGTTTTCATTTCATCATTTAATATTATGTTCCACAACTTTGGTCCTCGGTTTACAATTGAGAATTTAGTAGCGGAATAATAAGTTTTGAATTGAATGTAGTTGTATTTTGAAAATCTTGTAGGGTATATGTGATTTATTTTTTGCAAAAATTGAATAAAATAAGATTGGTAATAAATTTTTATCAAGTTTGAACATGAAAATAAGAACTTGATAGAGGTTTAGTTTATATACATTTAGGATATTGAGTTCATTAAAAAGTGTTTGTGTGTGTGAAAAACGATCTACGTTTGATATTATCCTTATAGCCTGTTTTTGTTTGCTAAGCAATTTTTTTATTTTTGTCGCGTTAGTGCTACACCAAGCAATGTTCGCATAGCTTAAGTAGCAATGAATAAAAGAAAAGTAAATGTTTTTTAAACAAGATCGATGTAATAACTGCTTTGCTTTGTATATTATACCTAAATTTTTTGATATTTTATCTTTAACTACACCTATGTGATTCCCTCCAGGTTACATTTTCGTCTAGAAACACGCCTAAAAACTTTATTGATTGCTCTCTCTTTATTAATTGATTGTCAATAAAAAGGTCTGGGAGTTCTAAGGGAATATTTGATTTTTTATGTAGGCGATGGAATAAAGTGTATTTTGTTTTAGTAATATTTAAAGAAAACTTGTTTGATTTAAACCATTGGGTTAGTTTGTCTAGTTCTTTGTTTAATGTTTGGAATAATATATTGATATCTTTATTGGAATAAAACAAGCTGGTATCATCTGCAAATAAAATTGTATTTAAAATGTTAGAAAATTTATTTAAATCGTTTATATAAACAAGAAATAGAAGTGGCCCTAAAATTGATCCTTGAGGAACACCACATTTAATTGTCTCATAATTAGTTTTTCCTTCATCATAAACTATATACTGCTTCCTATTGGTCAAACTTTTAAAAGAAAAATGCAATTGCAGTTTTTTTAGAACTAGGTCGCCTTGTTACATAAATAAAAAAATGTCGCCTGTTACATAAATAAAAAAATATGTCATAGAAGCTGCCTAGACTAAGAAACCAACAATAATTATGAACTTTTATTTCATGAACTTATAAACAAAGCAACTAAAATAAAAATTGAATCAAAATCGTTATCTAACGTAATTTTAACTGAAAAAACAGAATACATAACAATGTCGGATGTTTTTGCTTTAAGCCTGTCAGATCATGATATTATTGGTTGCTCAAGAAAAGTAAAATATAAAAAATAACCATATCAAATATTGAAAGAAAAGAGAAATTATTAAAGCTATGACAAAAAGGGCGTATTACAAACAATTTAATTTACATCATTGGAACTCTATATATGAGATTCAAAATTTAGTATTTATTATTCTATTATAACAGAAATTATTATGCACCAGGTATTACAAAGAGGGTAAAAGGTCATTTTTCTTCTTGCCTCAAATGATATTACTGAGTTATACGGATAAAAAAATTAAATTATGTAGAAAAATAAATTAAATTACGCGGAAAAATGAACTGAAAAATACGGAAATATTAACGTCATAAAACAAGACAATTAAAAGAAGGAAATATGAAATTAAAATAAGAAATTGAAAAAAACTCTGTAATTTATTAAATAAAATCATTCATTGAGTTTTTCTTCAAAATTTTTTTTATTTTAATTTACATTTTCGCATAACTTAGTTTACATTCCGCATAATTAATTCATGCGGAAATTTAAAACAGTTCAAAAGTTTTCTTTTAAGGCTGTGTGAATAAAATGAGCAATTGCTTTTACTCAGTAATTGGTCAGTTTTACGTAAATAAAAACTTTAAAAATATTTCTTAAGTTTTTATTCACGTAAAGCTGAACAATTAGTGAGTAAACTGCTTAGTTTCACGTGAATAAAAATATTAGTAAAACTGCTAAAGTTTTTATTCACGTAAAGCTGACCAATTACTAAGTAAAAGCAATTGCTCATTTTTATTTACACGGCCTTATACCTTTCAAAGATATTTATTGAGAAACAGCTATAAACAGCTATGTTTAGACGTAAAAAAAGTACCGGTTTGAATACAGTTTGACCCTGTTTTCTAAAAGGTCATGCTTTAGGTCATTTAAGTCATTTTATAAATCTATCTTTGAAAACAAGTAAAAAGCCTATTGAATGGAAAATAGAAAAAATTATTTCAATATACAAATAAGGATCATCCAACGATTCAAAAAACTATAGACCGATTTTTATTTTAGCTGTTTTATCAAAAATTTAGGAACGATCGGTGTACTTTTAGTTAGAGGCTATTTAAAAAAAGCTATTTGTTAAAACATAAGCAGTTTGGTTTTTGTAAAAAAAAAGATCATCTGAACTAGCTGCAACCTTCTTTATAGATTCAATCAGGAAATAAATTGATGAAAATAATGTTCTTGGATCTGTTTTGACACCTTTAGTCACAAAAAAATAATTGAAAAGCTTTATGCATATGAGAAAAGAGCAAATGAATTACATTAGGTTCAATCCTACCTATTTAAACGTAATAAATGCGTAGAAATTAATGGAAAACTGTCAGATAAACAATCTATGTGTTGTGGGGTACCTTACGAAAATATCCATGTTCCTTTTTTTTGTTCCTTGTATTCTTTAACAGTTTCACAAAATGTCTCAAACATTCTAAAGTAATAATGCTTGCAGATGACTCTGTTATTTTTATTGCTGACAATGATTACAGAGTAATTGAGATAAAATTAAATGAAGAAAGGAACCTAGACATAATTTTGTTAAATAATTTGAAGTGAAAAAATCAAGTATTATCGACTGCAAGCAAAGCAAATTGCATGTTGGACATATCAAGGAAATCTTTTATAAGATTTGATGCAAAACTGTTAAATCTCTATATCTTTCATTTATTTGACCACTTATTAAGTTTGCTGTACTTATTTAATACCTTCAATCAGTAAATTATGCAATTAAGATTGCCTTGCTTGTCTTAGAATGATCTCCATTGTTAAAAGAAGACAACGAGGCGACATAATACAACTGCATAAATTTTTGAAAGGTTACAATAAAGTTGAATTAGAAGAAAATCATTCCTTCAAATCAAATTGTATTTGTGGCTATAGCTTAAAATATTCTATAGAATTTTTTATCGTTATAATGATATGTTAAATAAATTCATTGATAAAAGATACATGAAAAAAAAGACTTTAAAGTCATATTGTATATTTAGTGTTGTATATTCTTATACAACACTAAATAAGTCATATTGTATATTCTTTTTAAGCTTTTCTAGTTGTCATAATTTTTTAATGTGCAGACGAAAAGATACGTAAAATATTCAAAAAAATTAGTATGTGATATGATTAAAAAAAAGAAGAAACACCAGATTTATCTCATAACTTTTATATTTATAAAATTTTTATATTATATATAAAATAAGCTTAGGTAACATTTATGAATGTACGTATTTTACAGGGCCGTTGGAATAAAAGTTAAATGAGGGTGGAGGGTGGGGGTTGGTGGGTGGGGCAGTACTACTCTGAAATAGTTTAAAGGACCTTTTTTTTAAGTAATTTTTTTAGTCAATTTCTTCATAATTATTTATTTGAAAAATTATTGAGGGGAAGGGGGGGAGGGTATATTCCCCTGCTTTCCACCCGGTTGCTACGGGCCTGTTTGTTTACTTAATAATTCTGAAAAAATAAATATTAAAAATATAAAAATGAACTCTCAAATGTTTTATTGCCAACAGCCCAATTTTACTTTAACCCAGCACTGATACTCAAGATGTTTTTGAGTACTTTAAAAAATCAAAAAAAAAAAAATTAAAAATATATATTGTTAAATATTTATTTTGAAATTTTTGAAAACTTGATTTCATAATTTTATTTACTTAATAGTAATTTTGAAAAAAGTTTGGTAGTAATACTACTTATTAATTGTTTTAAGGTCATGGAGATGGATATATTTACGGAACTGATGGTGTATTCAGTATGAATATTAATGGAAGTTTCTTTTCAGATATACAAAATTTTGATATCTATTTAACTTTGGCTTATTACTTACAAAAGGGAGTGTATAGTAAGGTTTTTTTTATTGTAATTTGATAATATTTTATTTCATGTATATATGCACATATTTATACCAACGCAGGTTCTTTCTAAATCAGTCAATCCAAATACTGAAATAGTTGCAGTTTCCTAATTAAGTATGACGTCATACAGCTAAGCAAATAAATTTTTTAAATAAATGCAAAATCAATCTAATTATTGTACTGGCAAACTCAATCTGGTTATTGTAATTAACACAATTTTGCTTATCTTTCATTACTAGTAATAGTATTTCAAGAACAGAGCATTTATTACTATTCTAAGGTTATTTTTAAGGTTATTTCAACTGTAGATATGCAATTAGTTTTTTTAGTTTGTTTTCTAAAAGCTTAAGGTTTATATTATAAAACTACCCCTGTATATCATAACTTTACCATTTATAATATTATCAGTAAACAGGCTGTTAACTATATTTGGGATTAATGCGTGGGGGAGCTAACTGTTGGTTGTGTTGACCGCAAGTTCATGATTTTTTTTTGTTCATTATTACACAACATCAACAACAATTAAAATTAATTTTATATAGTAACTGGTGCACAGCCAAAAATAGCTATTATTGTAAGTTTTACTTTCTGACATTTCTCTAAATAAAGATGTAACCATAGTACAACATTATCTAGAAAAAGGACAAACACAGATGTATGTGTGTCTTTTTTCTAGAATTCTTTCAATGTTGTCAACACAAAGGGATATAGAGTTGAGACCATAAAGACTACAGTTAAATAATACACTACAACTCCATTTGAAAAGGACAAAAAGCAAGAGATCATTTAGTAAGGGACTTAAGAGCACAAAAATATAACTGAATTAAATTAATAGAAGTTTTATAATAGTGAGTTTTAAATCATAGCATCATTCATTTTTTTGAATTAAAAGGTGAATTAAATATATATATAAATATATATATATATATATATATATATATATATATATATATATATATATATATATATATATATATATATATATATATATATATATATAAAGTATTAAAACTAGCAAGGATTCATTAAATGTACAAAAATAAAACATTGACTGTGGTATTAAAATATTTAGTGGGCATCATTATTGTGTTCCATAAATAATACACCTGTATGGAGTATAACAAATCATTATTTAAATAGGCAAGGTTTGCATAGTAAGGTGTCTTGTAAATAGAATAACAACTTTGTAAAAGTAAATAAATGCAGTACATTAATACCATGATTATAAAAAAATTATAACGTAATTTATTAGTTCGACTATCATACTATGAGAAATGCAATAACACAATAGCAATAATATGATAACTAACTATAAAAACCCATTTTGTTATTATATTCCATTGAAAGATATGTTATATAATATTAAGCAATTGTAATATTAATGTTCGTAAACAAAGTTATGCTTGCAGTTAATATGCTACATGTGTTTACTTTTTCTAAACTATTGACTGATGATCAATAAAGTAAACTTCAAATAATGCAAGCTTACAAAGTTAAAACCATACTTCAACTCAAATAACTACACAAGGTAGAATCTCAAGGTAGAGCTGAAAAAATGGAGAAAAAATATATAATAGACAATGTATATAATGCTCCTAATTAAAATATCAAAGATACAGTACATAATGGTATAATGGTACCAGTTATAATGGTACCAGTTTCGATTAACAATTGACAGGTAAAACTAAAGATAAATAGAGAAAAAAAAAATACAACAAAAATTAGGCACGTTTAAATTTATAATAATAAAAAAACTTTATGAAAAAAATTAAATAACAACTAAAATAAAATAAATAATTTTTTTAATTTTAATTTAAAAATTGTTAAATTATACAAACTTTCTATTTGAAGAAGATCTTAAAGATACTGACTAAAGGTTTGAATATACAGTGTAAATATAAACCTTTAATCAGTATCTAATTCACAATATAAAAAACCCGTAAATTCTTCCCTAACATCATAGGAATTGTCTATAAATCTAATTACTAAAGAAAATTGTTCCTGATTGGAGCAGTCAGATGCTTCATCAGCAATAGCTGAAAAAAATTGATTTTCTTTTATTTCAGAAACCAAAGTATTCTGGATGTACTTTCCACAACAATATTATTAATTCATTCTGTGACGAATGAGAAATATAAGATGCATTCTTTGCATAGCTGTTAAAATGAAGTTCAAGAACGTTATCACTACCTCTGGTTCTGTAGTTTAAAATTTCAATAAAATTACCTACTCCACCCACTAAAGAATATTTGCCAATGACCATTACAATGACCTCTGAAAGCAATATTAAGTCGGCCTAAGAAAATGATTGAGTCAACAATTGGACGCAACATCTCACAATTTAAAGCAATCTCCTTTTCATATTCTTTATTAAAATATCTATATTTTGAATATTTTTATTCATAGTATTTAAAATTGCGGAAAATATGGTCCAGATATTATAATGTAGAATTTGTACTGCGTGATGATGTTCATAAATATTTCTGCTGAGTGATGTTCATAAATATTTCATTTTTTCCCATGATAATGTCTATTAAAAGTGCTAACAGCATCTCGCCACTATTTGAATGGCTGAGAATACAAGTTTTTATATGTAGAAACTTTTAAAGTGTATTTATATCCAAACAAAATGCAACACAAACAAAATGCTCCATCTTCAGAATGTGAATATCAAAGCCATGAAAATTGTTTTCACCGTAAAAGTTTAAAAGATTACCCAATTGTTTTTAGAAAAGAGTAAGTTTCTTCAGGAACAAAAACATTTTGAATCAATTTATATTTGTAAATCTTTAAAAGTAGAAGCCTTCAAGCGAAAACATGCAATATCATATTCATTAGAGGGTTTACTTGACAATTTCTTTTAGCGAGACTCTGCTCCCAAATTTTCAGTGGATAAGATGCTTTTATCTATTTTCATTTGAAGATAATGTATTTTCATTTGAAGATAATGTACTATTCGGATAAAATGATTTTGAATCAATAAAAGAATTGCAAAAAATACTTTTATGGAAGACATACACTTTTTGTTGACAAGAGTACATGAAACAGTTTTATCATTAATGGTAGATATAGATGATACCTCATTCATATTATATTTTTATGCAATTGTTATGAATTGTTAATTGATTGGTAAAATTAACTTTTTCACAGATTTTACATTTTAAACATTTCTTATGAAATGTTTAAAATATAAATTTCTTTGAAAATGAGAGGCATATAATGATTATGTTTATATGGACATGGAGGGTTTATTCCCTCAAAACAAAACAACAAATTAACAATATCCGATGATAAACAAAGAATACGAGGTTCAATATTAAGATTAAACATGATTTTATATGAAATATTTCTTCTTTAACAAGGTCATTTTTTAATTTTCCTGAGTCTATAGATTGTGTGGATACAGACACTGCTAACAAATTATCAATCGATGAAAAATCATTTAAATACTTTGAGCACAAGCTTACAAACGATGAATGATTACTGTAAAATGAGGCATTGAATTATAAATCAATTGCTGTCAGTATTCTTAAATCCATTGCAAGACTATTATCACCACACAGATAAATCGAAAATTAACAAAATAACCAATTGCCAGTTGATTCAAATCAGTAAAAAGAGCAATTAAAGATTTTTAAAGTAAAAAAATTCAACGCTCAATGGAAAATAAAATTGGATTTAATCATTTATTTACAATAAATAGTTTGGTAAAAAGTTGAACCAATTAGATTAAGGCAAAAAATATATTTTATAATATTATTGTTATTTAAATTTACATCTGCAAATGAACGAAAGCAAGGATAATATGTTTACAAACTTTAAATGTAACTTCTTATTTTACTTTTTAAGATAAATAAAGTAAACCTTACTTCACTGCCATAATTGTTCTTGACTCCTGAGGAAAGACGCACTCAACAGAAAGATTTCTCTTTATTGAATTATGAACAGTCAACAACTGATAAAAATCTGACTTATGAAGGAGATTAAACTTTACTTACAATTCTGAATAAAGAGTTTGTTGATTTTCGATAAACCCATTTTCAAGTAAATACCTTACAGATTGTAGAGAAATGCACGCCATATCAAAAATAATTTAAAAATTGTTTAAAACATTCAAAGAAATAATGTTAGAAAAGGTTTCTTTTAAATTAGTCAGGGGGCAATTATCATATATTTAGTTCGACTAACTTGGCCTGAAGTTACGCTACCAAACGACGAAAATCAAACAATTTTAAGTACTTAACAACTTTTTAAAATCTTCTCAGCCGAATAAAAGGGCCAGATAAGTCGCAAGATTTTTTTGACTAACTTGGCGTTACCCGTACGAAAATTTCCCATGGGAATTTTAGAAAAAAAACCCATGGAAAAACCATGGGTATTTGGAACACGTTCCCATGAAAAAACCATGAGTTTTCCATGAAAAAACCATGAGTTTTCCATGGAAAAACCATGAGTTTTCCATGGAAAAACCATGAGTTTTCCATGGAAAAACCATGAGTTTTCCATGGAAAAACCATGAGTTTTCCATGGAAAAACCATGAGTTTTCCATGGAAAAACCATGAGTTTTCCATGGAAAACACATGAATTTCCCATGAAAAATCTTTAAGTTTTTCATGGAAAAGTGTTCCAAATACCATGGATATTCAATGATTTTCCATCCATGGAAAAACCATGGAATTTCCATAGGTATTAGGAACACCTTTCCAATGAAAACTTATGGATTTTTCATGATAAAAAAGCATGATTTGTTTTCAAGTTTTTTATCTAATGTTATTTGAATTGTCATATTAAATCATAAAAGCAAATTTTATCCCACTATTATTGAGTTCTCTTAATCTATGAGATCGCTTTCTTCAAATAAAATCAATAAACAAAATAAAATTTAAATCTTGTTAAATCCTACAAATCTTTGAAAAATAATAGCTATAATGCACCTAAAACATCAAAACTTGACTTCCCCACAATATTTAATGCACGCATATGTATAACATACTGAAAATAAATAAAACAAAAAATTACAAGTAATATAATACTATAAGTGATATACATAGTGATAAACAATTGAAATTTATCAAGAAAACAATTTTTACAAAAAATAAAACAATTTACATGTTTATTATTTTATATTAACTATTTGATAAAAATAGTATATATAAATTTGATAATAACTTCAAGTTTTAACAAGTTAAAAAGAACCATCAATACAACATATTTAATTCAAAAAAACATCAAGCCCATTTATAAATGCGTCTGTACTGTATCTGTAGAAACAGGTAGATGTTAAACAAAGTACCATTCACATATTAATATTCATTTTTTTTCACCCTAGTTAGTCTCATTCTCCATTTCACCAATCTAGACAATACATCATACAACTATTATATACATTCTAACTAGTTTTCTTTATTTACTAATTCATTTTACTTATAATTATTATCTATTATAACTTACTTTATAATTAGGCATTATACACAATTATGAATGTTGCCAAATGTTAGGTATATAGAAAAAAGTAGCAATGAATATATCATTATTTATAAATACAAATTATTAGATTGTTACCTCTTTTTTGCCTAAGCTATCTGCATTATGTACAACATCGTTTATATTTCCAGTCAAACATTCCTGCCTATAATGTAACTTTATTAAAATGATTTATTCAAACTAATACATATATAAATGTTACCTGCATGTTAGAAACATTTATATAGAACAAGGCAGCAATAAATATTATATTATATATTTACTTTTGTAATTAAAAAAAAAACTTACTTCTTCTTCTGAGCTATCTGCATGATGTACAACATCATTTACAAACCTGTTTTCTTCACGTCCTTCCATTTTTTAATATATTATAAAGCACAGGACTTGTTAATGAACGGCTAAATAAATAAATTAAAAATTTATATTTAAATGAAATGATAAGGTTAAAATGAAAAGATTTATACACATATATAAATTTTACCTGCATGTTAGTAACATTTATATAGAATAAGGCAGCAACAAATATAGTATAACTTATAAATTGTAATTTTAAGTAAAAACTTACTTCTTTGTCTGAGCTGTCTGCATGATGTACAACATTATTTATATTGTCAGTCAAACTTACCTGCTTATAATGCAGTAATTTAAATAAAATGATAAAGTTAAAATAAAAGAACTTACGCACATACCATTAAATTCAAAAATTTATTATATTTTTACTTCACTATTTAAAACATAACAAATATGTAATTTATAAAGTATAGTAATGTAAAAGCATAGTAAATATCAAAGTGTGTGCAAAAATTAATTTATTTTAACTAAAGACGAGCACTTTACATCAGTTAAATATAAACAAATAAAAATAATTGTATTATAATAAATAATAGTGTATTATTTATAAACATTGCTTTTATATGCTTATATTTAACTATGAAGTAAAATCTTGTGCATTAAGTAAATTCCCTTACTGATACTTATAAAATATTACCACAGTTTTCCTTCTCCAACTAAGTGGTTCTTGGAACATCCTTACAAGTTGAATCCCAAAGATTACGTTTATATCTTTTCTGGTTTTAACTCAATTCACCATTTTATTTTGACAGCTTTTGAACTATTTTTAAAAATATTAAATGCATATAAAAACTGACGATGTTATAAACAATATAAACGATGAACAACATTATTTATATTGCCAGTCAAACCTGTTGGCTTATAATGTAGTAATTTAAATGAAATAATAAAGTAAATATAAAAGAATTTATAAACATTATTTATATTACATTATTTACATATTCTAATAATTCTAAAGAAAAAACTACAACAAAAAGACAAAAACAACTTAACAGAACTAAAATTGAATAGAACATTTATCATAAAAAAATGTTTTTTAATACTTAATGAACATTTACGATACAATAAACTTCAAGCATTTTTATGTAATCTAAGGCTATTATAAAAAAATAAATAAAAAAGATCATACTAGTTATCTTTTGTACATTAGTTATCTAATCTTATTATCTTAGTTATCTAATCTTATCTAATATACTGCTTGTATATTAATATTTTAAATAAGTTTCTTTAATACGTTCGATAAATTTTATAATAATAATTATACTAGTTTGAATGTACATTAAATTACACTATGTACATTAATACACTAGTTATTTAATGTAGATTAAAACTAAACATTTATTTGTTGTAAACCAAATAATAATTATTTGGCAAATAATTTGCCAAGTAGGCATTAAAATTCAAACTGGTTTACTTGACATACTTGCTATACTATTGCAAGTTATGCAAAGTAAGCAAAGCTACTGGAAACAGTTAAAATAAGTATATGCATAAATGATATATAATAAAATATAATTAAAAATAATCCCTTTTATAATGCATTATAATATGATAAATATATCTAGTTGTTTATGTCTGTATGTTTAGTTAAAACATATAAATGCATTGCATTATAAAAAACATATAATTCATAGCCTTATTAAACACAGAAAAACAGAAGAATGCAGTAAGTATTGTTTTCTAATTTAAAAATAATCATAACTCTACGAGCTATGACGCCATCTTTAAAAGCACATTTGTAACAACCATGGCGCAGCTTAAGCTATGAAAAAAAAAACATGGTTCACCCATGGAAATTCCATAGGATTTCAATTTTCATGAAATTTACCCATGGAAATTCCATGGAATTCCCGTTTTTCATGGGAAAACCATGGTTTACTCATGGAATTCCATGGGTTTTCCATGGAATATTTCCGTAAGGGTAAGTTACATTACCGAACAATAAAACTAAAAAATTTAAAGAACTTTAATAATTTTTTGAAATCTCGTCAGCCGAAAAAATGGGCCAGATAAGTCGCAAGATTTCTTGACTAACTTGGTCCAAAATTACGCTACCAAAAAAAATTACAAGTCGACACGGGGCTATTGCGTGCGCATATACTTATCATTGTTTATTAGGTATTGCTGTTTAGACCAAAAAAGTAGAGATTTTATTTAATTTCACAAATTTCAATATTATATAACATATTTCATTAGGCTGATTGGTTTTTAGTTTAGTAAAAGGGATGTTAGTCAATGCGCTTAACTCTAAATCCACCCCTTTATATATGGGTTCTAGCGTTATAGTACAAGAAGATGTAACAGAAAACTAATCTCCGCTATCAAATAATGAAAGAAGAAATTTATTTTGTTTCTAAATTTAGAAACTAATTCTCCTCTTTTGTTCAGCAGATTGTCTTCTTTGTAAAATAATATTTCGAACTTCTTGTTTAAATAAAGCTTGCAGAATTTTGACGCAGGATTGTATGTTTTACAGCGTTTAATAATATTTCATTTGATTGAAGATGTAAAATTGTTTTTTTTTTTATTCTTTACGCAAATCTATAACTTCTATAAGCTGAAAAAACTTCCAATATGTATAAAATATCTAAAAATGATTACAACCACCTTCTTAAAAACGCAATCACTTCCATTTATGAAAAGGCGATCCAAAACTATAAGTCGTAGTAAATAAAGAATGTAAGCAAATTTTGACAAATTATGATATTTTGAAAGAATCAAGATAAATGGAACTGCCGATTGTTTTATAACTTTAAAAGATCATAATGCCAACTTAATAAACAACCCTACTGTGCGTCTTTTAAATCCTGCAAAGAATGAGGTAAGATATATAAATATATATATATATATATATATATATATATATATCGAATGAGGTAGGATATATATATATATATATATATATATATATATATATATATATATATATATATATATATATATATATATATATATATATATATATATATATATATATATATATATATATATATATATATATATATATATATATATATATATATATATATATATATATATATATATATATATATATATATATATATATATATATATATATATATATATATATATATATAGAGGGACTACTAAAATACCGGGACGCGCAACTTCGATTTCATGCGATTTTGACGAGAGGGCTGAAAGTTGAATATGTTCAAAAAATTTTTGAAGTTTAACACTTAAATGATTTTGATACTAATATTAACAGTTAATCAGAGTTATTTTTTGTTTCTCATTAAATAACATCTTAATCTCATAACTCATTAAATTTATGACAATTTATAGTAAAAAAGGAATCTTATTTTTATAAGGCCTGGATTAGTAACTTTAATCTTTAATTAGTAAATAAATTGATCTTATGTAGTTAATCAAAGGATCTTATCCAGTAAATAAAGGGATCTTATAAAATTTAATTACTTGAAACCATTTAAATCATTTCATTAAAAATTAAAATTAATTCATAATTTATTAATCTTCAAACATTAATAAATATAAGAATTTTAAATAATAAATATAATTATAAATATAAGAATTTTCAAAATTCAACAACAAAAAAAGTAGATTATCTAAAATGATCTAACTTCTGTGTTAAAACAATGTTAACAATTTTAAAAAATAACCATTTTAACCACATATTGCGTGTTGTTTGATTTATTTGCAAAACTTTTTAACTTTGCGGTCTTCAATATTTAAAGAAACTTTGTCTGACGATTCATTCAATTTCGAAAGACCCTTGAAAAAACAATTCAAAATGGTGGAAACAACTGTGTTGATTGGTAATGCTTGTAAATCGAAAGGTAAAGCTGTATAGAAATATATAAAAAGTTTAGAAATGTATCTAACGCACTGGAACCGCATCTCTGCATTAGGTAATAAAATAAAAAGAGAATACGCATATCTGACTTATTGAAATAGATCCTCAGTAGGTTGACATAGTCGACCACGAGATACTAACTCAGTAAACTCAGATGCATTGGTAACAAAGGTACCAGATACGGATATACTTGGTAAAAATTTATGCTGGACATAACCCGAAATGTAATATAGGGCAGCATTTTCTTCTTCGGAAATTGCATCAATTGAAGAAGACATATGTATCAAGATAACTAATGTCATCCTCATTCAGATCTAATTGACAACACTCTGATTGAATAATTGAGCATTGAGAAATAGGTACACTCATAGCATCCAATTTACTAAACAACTTCAGGCGTTGTAAACGAAGACTATTTTTAACTTCTTCAACCGAAACATGATAACTGCCTCCACAAAGTTGCCTGGCATAAAAAAATCTAAACTATATATAATTTGAATTTTATTTAAAGATACATACAAAAATTAGTGTTCTTAAATGTAGGGTCAGAGTGGTGAGGGGGTTGGGAGGGATTTACCCCAGAGCCCCTGTCACAAAAAATACATAAAAATTTAATAAAATACATAAAAAATACATAAAATACATAAAAAATACATAAAAATAGTTATTTCTATGAAATATCATTTTTGATGTTACAAAATACCAGTTATTTCTAAATAAAAGTTATTTCTACTTATAACCAAAAAAAAATTTATTTTTGCCCCCGGGCCCTTCAGTGCCAGTCTGACCCTGCTTAAATGTAATAACAACAATATCAATCTGATCATAAATAGGTAAGGAATTATTTAACTACCTGTATATTCCAAATTCTCCTTCTAACCGATCTGTCTGAAATATTCCGGGAAGAACATATTGATGATCTTCATTCAGCAATTTTCGGATTAAATCTACAATTCCGTAAAGCATATTCGACAAAGAAATTTTCGTTTCACTAGTGAATGATTTGTTCCGCTTCCAGCCCTTTCCTCCTGGCATTTTTGCAACAGCTTCAGCAAATGTCAAAATCTCTTGAAGTCGTTTATCATTTACATTTTTGTATGAAGCTCCATTTGGATCATTTAAACGTATGTCCATACCTTCATGTTTAATATTAAGGTAATTCCATATCAATAATATTCTTTCAAGAAACTCGCTTGTCTCTTTAAAATCACAAATTTTAAGGGCTGCTACAGTCTTCTCATTAACAACAGCACACATATGGGTGACATTTTGTTGATCAATTACACCTGGATGAATAGTTTGTATGAAAGATTTGTCAACTTGATAAAATTATTTTTTTCTTTTTCATATAAACTTACCAAATCTTTCCAATACCCTTTAAATAATTGACTATTTAGTGTCAGATGAATTGTTCCAGTTTTTTCTGTAAGCCAGTTATTTCGAATTGATTTAAACAAGTGCACTGGATCATGAAGCATTATTATACTTTCGTTGCAAATATTACCAATAATACCAAGCCATGGCTCATTTAAACTTAAAGCAAAAACTTGATATATGCTACGATTTGTGGGAAGATTGTCTGAAATAAGGCATAAAATTTCTCCACCAAGTTTAGCAACTGTCTGTGTGATTTCAACAATTAAATTTTGTACAAAAATGCCAGATAGCTTATAAACTGGGGCCATACGACACACAAAAGCTGGTTTTCCAAACATTGGCTTAATCATAAAACAAAGAATTGTCTTGGCAATTTCAGCAGGATTGTCTTCACTATAACCAATTAAATGACATCCACGAAAACGTATACTTGGTTTCACATACATTTCATCAAATAGCAGGCAGCAACGTTTTTTCGTAATAGTTAATGTTTCAAACACGGTTTTAATACATTCTTCACATTCCTTTTGTGTTCCTACTTCACCGATTCTGCCTAATTTTAGTTTAAGAGTTCTTGGATGTGGGAGTGAAAGTGTATCACAAAGAATTCGATAACAGCATCTTGAAGAAAGGTATAGTTCTAAAGCTCGTCGTACAACTAGCGTAGAGTAACGCTTGCCTCTCACAGGCATCATCTGCAGTTGTAGTTATTCAATCAAAAAATTAATTTCATCAGATTTTTTTCCATATGTACATTCAATCTCTTGCAATAAATGTTTTAGTTCCTCGCTTAATTCAGGTTTAGATGACTTCATTCTTGAAATAATTGCTTCTAACTGCGACCACCGAGTGAGTTTGTGAGAAAACCCCAAAATATCATTGCAATGAAATGTGTGTGTTTGATATAAGCATGTAACTGTTGAGTGTAAGTATTGATTGTAACAGAAATATTAGTTTCTGGTGGACGCGAAAATGTCATATTAAAAACAGTTAGATTTGTAACAACAAAATAATCAGGAAACCTTGAAATATTTAAAAGAATTATTTATGAGTAATACTAACACAAAAAAATCCTACAAAAATTATATTTAATTAGATCTTTTCTTACCGCTGCTTTACATCTGTAAGAAACTGTTTGACTTCAAATTTTTTTATTTTATCAATCTTGTTGAAAGAATCGAGTTCATCACAGAATGAGTTTCGTGATTCAATTGAAATTTTTTCAAATTTTGTTTGACGGAATGTTTTGCCTGTTTGTCGTAACATTCAAGGAAAACACCCAGGAAATAGTGAAGGAGGATCTGATGGAATGTTTCCATTGATTTTAGATTATCTATTTAATTTGAACTAAATAAAGCTTACAAGTATAACTACAACATTGATTTGAAATTTTTGTTTATATATATGAATTCGACTCACCTGATATTTAGATCTTTTTGGATAGTGCATACTACACCCCAAAAGCCAGTGCTTTTCACAAACACCCATATTGTCTGTTGGTGATTGAATTTTATTTGGTAAAGCTGCTAACCATCTTTCACATAATTCTTTGTCACTTGGAAATTTGTAAACTTTAACATGCTCCTTTGCACTGTCATAATTTCCACGACAATTACCTACTGAGCATTTTCTAGGCATGTCTGTAATGGTTTTATAAATTTATTTTTAAATAGAGAATAAAATAATATTTTTTAAATATTATAACCTTAAAAATAGGTTTAGTTTAGTACAATAATAACTTAACATTCTTATGTTTTTTTGTACTCAACTTTATTTAGTACTAAAAAAGTTACTTTAGTCTAAAGTAACTCAAGTTACTTTAGTGTAAAGTAACTCAAGTACCCCTAAAACTGTTAGTAACAGTTTGAAGACTTGATTTGCATCAAAACGTAATTATACTCAAAATCAAATAAAATCTTCGTACTGTAATAGTATGTTACTGTTTTTCATTTTTTATCATAAAATATTTAAGTAGTCATAAATAATTAAGCAAGTAATACTCATAAATATAATAATTAAGTAATTAAGTAAGTAATATTCATAATATAATAAGTAAGTAATAGTCATAAATATTTAAGTAGTCATAAAATATTTAAGTAGTATTTATAATTGCAATACAATCATCATATAAACATCTTCATAAAAATACTTTTACTACTTTAAAAGTACTATAAAAAGGCTTAAAAAAATAAATTAATTAAAGTTAATACATTATATAATCTATATGAATCAACATTTGTTGCAGCTTATCAATAATCTTTAAATACCACTCTTTTATTTAAGCTATTAACATTACATGTTGGTATATTGAAGGCGCTAAAGTCAGCCCTCTCGTCGATTTCACATCGATTCAATGCCGTGCGTCCCGGACTTTAAGTAGTCCCTGTATATATATATATATATATATATATATATATATATATATATATATATATTATATATATATATATATATATATATATATATATATATATATATATATATATATATATATATATATATATATATATATATATATATATATATATATATATATACACAAATGAATTTCTTCATACAATCTATAAGTTTAAATTTTTTGAAATTGTGATCAAAATACTCGGCCACAATTTTATGTGTTCTTTGTTTACAATTTTACCATTATAGCTACTAATTTTCAGCTTTGGTGTCTTACCAACATATAACCTAACAATTTTTTTCAGCTTTAGGTGTGTCTGACATTTCAACCTACAACCTAACAAATAGCATTTCTTCATATAAATGGAGTGAATTAAAAGAAAGATATACTATAACTAAAAATGATTTTAATGTAAGTTTTTTACTTTTTACAGTTTTATACATTTTGCAAAAATTTTGTTTTGTTTTTTGTTCTTTATTAGATTTTAAAACATTTCGGTAATTTCTGTAAATTTTATGACATAAATTATTTTATAAAACTTACAAGCCAAAACATAAATATCATCAAGATCATTATCATCATATCATCATCATCATCATCATCATCATCATCATCATCATCATCATCATCATCATCATCATCATCATCATCATCATCATCATCATCATCATCATCATCATCATCATCATCATCATCATCATCAATGTCTTTATAATCTCTATAATTTTAGCATATAAAATTTTAGATAACTATTAATGGATCAGGTGGGTTCATTGTATTTAACAATCTTTGCATTTATCAAGGTAAACTGTTACTTCATAAATTTTTAATTAAACTTTTAAAAGATTTGATTTTTACATATTATTTAATAGAGACAATTTAAACTAAAAAGGTCATTCAACAGATTTATGTTATAATATTTATTAATGTGTTATGTTATAATTAGTAATTAGGTTTTTAATGATAATAAAATAAATGCCTGTTAAATGTATTTATAATACTTTTCGTGAAACCGAAGTGTTATGTCGGAGTTCTGCATTTTGAGAAGAATTTTGACCTCATTTATTATTAATGTTACGCTTTAGATATATCCATATGTTTATAAACAATCTAATAAATTTGTTTGCTTGTTATGCAAACGCTGTAATAAGCATAAAGGAGATTTTAAACAGATGTCAGTGAGACATGGCTATAGTTTGTTAAAATAAGGGTTTTTTAATAAACGATTATACTTCACTTTTACAATGAATACTTATTAGTGTAAGTATTCAATGTAAAAGTGACAATATTAAAAGTGGCAATAGAAGTACAATAGTAACGTTGCCATTACCAGTAGATATTTATTTGTGCAAATAGAGTATGTAAAACCTTCTTTTTTCATACCGGTAATAGTGCGTCCTGTTTTTAATGCGTTATGTATCTGATTTGTACGTTTTTGTTATGTATCTGTATTATACGTGTATGTTATGTATCTGTATTATACGTGTTTGTTGTGTATCTGTATTATATGTGTTTGTTATGTATCTGTATACGTGTTTGATAATGACTAAAATCATTTATATACGTCTGATAATGACTATCATTATACGTGTTTGATAATGACTAAAATCATCAAAATTTTTGATTTCAGTTTTTTATTTAACTAGAAAAACTAGATCTTAAAAATTATATTAAGTTTGTGTAATGAAATGTCTAACATATTTAGTGCGTGTAGTAAACTGTTTAACTTATTTACTTTGTGTAGCGAACTGTCTAACATATTTAGTGTGTATTATGAACTGTCTAACATATTTAGTGTGTATAATGAACTGTCTAACATAAAGTATTTTTTTTCTTTTCTTTAAAAAAAAAATTAAAAAAAAAAAGATCCCAAAAACAGAGCGACAATCATGATAGTATTTGTATATGAAAAAAAATTAAAACATCTTACAGCGATAAAAGAGCGACTAGAACTTGAAAGAAAGCGGATGTAATCTAAACTGCGTTTAGATTAAGTTTTCGGAGCTTTTAACAAAAAAAGGAGCATTATATAAAGAATTAGTTCAAAAATTAGAATATTATTCTATACTGGAAAAAATAAGATAGAGAAGCATAATATAGAATATAATCAAGAGTAAGATAATAGCAAAACAACATAAAGATACAAAATTTAGAAGTAAATAAAACCCCAAGAAGAGGAAAAGAAGAGAAAAAAATATAGACTCAGAGAGAGGATTGCTATTTATTAATATAGAAATCTTAACAGTATTGAGTTACTTGCATTAAATAACTAATGTTTCTAGGTATTAAAATTCACTAGACCATACAGGACAAAAAAAGGAAGACTCTAGAATAATATTTCAGTAAAAAAAAAATAAAAAAAAATAAATACAATTAGATGTAGCAGCCTTTTTATTTTTTTTATCTTTTTTAAAAATCTTTACTTTAAACAAGGCTACAAGAAACCACTATAACAGTTCGAAATTAATTAAAAAAAAGAAGTTTATAAAGCAAGATAACGATTAACAGACGACATAAGATCTGATTTTCGAGAAAAATAACTAGACAATTACAATTTTTAGGGCACTTAGGAACAGACACAGTAAAAGAATCAGACTCGATTGAATGACGAGTAATACAACAATGAGTTTAGTAGATGGCTCTAGAGCCGCTCGCTCATTCTATAAAAAAGATAAAAAGAAAGTAACATTACAACGATGTGACATTGATTGAAGGTTGGCTGCAAGAGCAGGTCCAACTAAAATTACAATGCATTTTTGCACCTTGTCTAAAAGAGAAAGAACATCATTTGCGGACTTATTCCAGATATGGCAACCGTATTCCATAGACAAACAGATTTGAGATTTATTAAGATAAACAATGGAATGCGGAGTAAGAAAGTGCTATTTTTTAAATGGGCTTGATATGTGGTTTATAAAAAAAACAAAATAAGAAAGGCAAAGGGTAGATAAAAATAAATAAAGACGAAGGGTAGATGACTCATTAAGTAAATTACCGTTCATAAATATAAAAAGACCTAGATTTTTGCATTAACGATTATCTAAACAAAAATTGATTTTTTTTCCGAGTAAAAGCTCAACAGCCTATGAGAGCCCAATGCTGTAGCAGAGGTGAGCATCTTTTTAAGCCCAATTGCCCCCTCAAAACAATTAGATTATGTCAGCTTCTTATCACGACAAGAATAAATGGTAGTATCATCAACAAAAATTGCAATCTGATAATCTGAGAATTTCTGGGATATCGTGAATGTAAAATAAAAAAAGTATGCGCCAAGGAAGGAGCCTTGAAGAATCCCTGAAGTTACAAGAGTGCTGTCCTTCGAGGAAAACTTTTATACTAGATTAGTAGTTAAAGATGTTATCTGATACACCATTAGATAAGAATTTATGGAGAAGACTATCATGCCAAACCTTATCAATAGCTTTAGAAATTTTGAGAGCATTAGACTTGCTCTCAAAATTTCTGAAGAAATTTTGAGAGCAAGTCTATTGCTCTCAAAAAAGAAAAGACTATCATGCCAAACCTCTCAAGATGTATCTAATGCACGATAAAACCTATCGGTTGTTACCGTTTACAAATCCGAGTTCGATCCCCACCACGTCCCTGGTAGTACCGCGCTCAACTTGTTTCTCCGCGCAGCGGCCTTGTTTGTCAAGGTTCGTGTTTCGGAGTTATAGAATTGAGAAAGGGTTATAAACACTGTTAAGTAGCCTCCTCCTCTGTAGTAGCCTTCTTGGCCTTGAGGAGGTGAATAACAAAAAACAAAACAAAACAAAAAAACAAAAAAACAAACAAAAAAAATCAGCAGAAAAAGCAAGGAGATCAAAATCAATGTTGATGAAAAGAATGTAAACTATTATATTCAAGATGAAAGATTAAGTGTTTGTTAATTAAAGACTCAAAAACCTTGATTATGATAAAAAGAAGACTAATAGGAAGATTGTTTGTTGAATCAAATTGATCAACAGAACCTTTTTAAAAAAGCTGTTATCCCTATTTATTATATATATATATATATATATATATATATATATATATATATATATATATATATATATATATATATATATATATATATATATATATATATATATATATATATATATATATATATATATATATATATATATATATATATATATATATATATATATATATATATATATATATATATGTATAATAAATTTTATTAGGGATAACAGATGCTACTTTTCAGCAAGAAGGAAAACAAGGGTTAAATAGTTTTAAAAGCATAGACGACATCTCCGGAGAACACGTCTGCAAGACTACAAAAAATGTCATTAGAAGAGTCAAAGTCAAGCAATGGATTAACCTGTTTGTTGACTATATCAGGTAGGATGTTATTAGTAGAATCAAGAGATGAGATTGAAGTAAGGATCTTTGCAAACAATTCAGTTTTGTTTTTAGGTGAGGTAACAAAAACTGAACCATGCAAGAGAGGAGAAATAACAGATTTGCCGTTGTTTTTGACACTGTTCAAGATTCTTCATATGTATGCAGAAGTGTGGAGTCGTAAAAAAAAAGTAGCGACTCCGACTCCAGTTATTTAAATTTTTTGAGTGCAACTCCGACTCCGACTCCAGTTGTTTAAATTTTTTAAGTGCAACTCCAACTCCGACTCCAGTTGTTTAAATTTTTTTGAGTACAACTCCGACTCCGACTCTCACTTCAACTCCAACTCCGGCTACAACTCCAAAGCAAAACTTGTGAAAAATTCTTTGAATTCTTTAAAAAATATTACGTCAAGAAGATAAATTTTTTTTTGACAAATTTATGAAGCGTTCTTTGAGGTTAAGTATGAATATAAGGTTAAATGAATATATTTTTTACATGCACGTACAATACCGAAAAGTTTTACTATTGGAGTTGGAGTCGCTAAAAATATTGCAACTCTGCAACTCCGCAACTCCGCAACTCCGACTCCAACTCCACAGCGCTGATATGTATGAAACCTAATTTTTGAGATGAAATACAGGTTTTTTTGATCTGGAAATAGCAGACTTTGGAGTTGACAAAACTTTTTTACAATGGTATCTAGCAATAGTAAACAGACATCTGTTTGCTAAAGAATACTTCTGGCAATAGATATGGTAGTAATAGTTATGATCGGAAATTGTAACAGCACAATGTGAGGAAAATCATGGAAAATAGTGAAGCTTGACTTGTCAAGAGAGAATAAAAGTTTCTATGCCAGCCTGAATCCAAGATGTTACACAAAAATTGAATTTGTCAGCAGAAAAACGAAAGATTACCCCCAAGGGCCATCACAATAAAAGTTACGGAAAAAGTCACAATCAGCTTTAAAGTTGTACAAGATGCAATGATAAAGGGATTCAAGAAAGAGAGGATGAATAAGAATGAGATAACAGTTTTAGTGAGATCAAACCATTATCAGAAACACTTAAAAGTAAATGTCGAGAGTAAATGCCTCGGCACTGACTAGAATTAGTAACAAGACACAAATTGAGTAGGGTAAGGAAAAGATTTGAATTGTCTGAAAATCAAGTTGGAAAGTTGACTATTTATGTTAAAGATTAAAAAAGGCAAAAGTTGTGTGTCTTAACGCCTGCAGACCCACTGATACTAGAGCCATACCGTTACGTGTGATGAGCATTAATGTCACAAACAACAGCAATATTGGCTGAGGAATAGGGAATAGAAGCGAAAGGGTTTTGTCAATTTAATCAGAAATAACATCAAAAAAAGTGCAGTCTTGAGATGAAGGAGAGCGATATAGAACAAAGAAAAAAGCAATAGAGTGAAGTGGTGCCAATCGAAAGAAGATAAAATAGTATTTTTTGTGGATTCAAACCTAGTTTCCGACAAATGGTGAATTCTTACAAATGCTCAGGCCAAGCATGTGACCATTGCAGGCTTAACGAACTAAAGTAAGACAACCATCATCACTAAGGTCGCAAAATGAGACAATTGAACTCAAAATAGTCTCACAAAATAAGTCTAGTGATCTTTTAAAGAGAAAACGTTAAGCAAAAGATAACTTATTTAGAAGGCCTTGTATGTTAGTGAGTAACAGATTTAAAAAACTTGGTAATGATGGTTTTTTGTGTTAGAAGTTAGAAGGTCTAACTGCATTTTTTGAATATAAATTAAGTTTTATAATTCTCAAAATATCAGCTAATATTGGTCAAATCAATATTTAAACAAAAATTTTTTTTGTTTAAAAACTGTTCTTGTTTTAAAAAAATGTATTGTTTTGGAAAAAATTTCAAAACTATTAATACATTCATATTTTATTACGTGCAAAATGTTAAAAGAAGTAAAATATATTATAACTAGTTACTGCACAGTTAGTTACTGAATTTGTATATATCTGTCTTTTGTTATGAGTACTTTTTTACGAACATTTCAACATCTTTATTGTTCACTATATCTATTTCTGACGCTTAGAAAGTTGATAAACCAAAAAATGCGTCTGACATTGCATCAGTCATACGCAAATATTTTGAAAAATTGCTAAATGTTCTTTCATCGCTTACAATAGTCACTGTTGATGAAGCCATTAGCTTAAAAGCCTTAAAAACTCTTTGGAATATTACTTGTTCTTGCAACAAAAGTTTTATTTTTTCATTGATTGGTGGAACTTTAAATTCAGTAAATGCTCATAAAAATTTCTAATTCTGCTCAAAATAAATGAGCATTTGTTACTTTTTCCATTATTTAGCATAAAAAAAGTACAGTTTTTAAACATCTTTAAGGTTGAAGGTTTTTGTTGACTGTTAAAGAAGATTAATGGTTCAATGCTCAACTATGAAGCCAAAAAACTTTCATTTATTTTGTAAACAAGACAGTTAATTAAACACGCAATTAGTTTGTTGTGTTTATTAATAACATATATTAATAAAACATAGCGGATCAGGATTGTCATCAGGGATTTTTGAATTAATTTTCGTATACATTTAGCGGATTAACCTCATGCTTGCTAAATATTTTAATCGCGGCATAAGTTTAGAAATGCACATCAAATTCATCTTTTCTATTTCACTAAAGAGATTTTATTGTCAACAATGTAGTCTACAACTCAACTTTTTGCAACTCATCATTAAGAACCATTGTTTTTACAATGACTAATTTATTAAGTATGAGCAAAGGAGAAGTTTATTTATCTTGGGCCTTCTTGCACCTTGGGTAACCTTACTATGTTAGAAAACTATAAAGGTATTATATTGTTTTAACAGTGACAATTCGACTGACTGTTAACAATTGGAAAACAAATACTTTTTTCTAATCCAAAATTTCTTCCTGTATCAGACTCAATCAAACAGTCAATACCCCTTATGTAATATAAAATGTTTTTGTTGTTGTAGCCATTATGCATAACTTGACATTTTAAGATGTTAAATAAAAGAAACCAAATTTGAGACTATATGTAGGCATTAACTAAACCTGCTTGAATTTTAGCTATTCATAGTTCTGTGGATTGTACTACTTTAGTAATTTACAAATTATAAATTACGAAAGTTCACCTATTTCTTCAATTAAAAAAACATCTTGGACACATTTGTTTAGTCGATTTGCTGTTTCTCTAGATTCTTTAATTAGATCACCACTGGTTACTTTAAAGGCTCTGAATTATTCCTTGATTAATTGTTGGCTGTTCAAAACATTTTTAAATAAGCTTTAGATTAAGTTTGGATCTTTCAACTAACAGGTTTTATATGTAAGTCACGGTTAATTTCTCTTTTACCAAGTTTGCAAGTAATTTTTTACTATTTAAACATATTAGGATCTTTCCATACACACGTACAGGTTATGAATCTGAAGCTTTTTCTTTTAATCAAATTTTAAAGATCTTTTTGGATTCATAGAACAATTTTTTTTTATTAAATTAAGTATATCAGATATATCAAGTACTGGAATAAATTTATAACACGCCACATTCAAAAGATGAAATAATTTATCGTACATTTGCTAAACCGATAGATCTTTTAAAGGCAGTATTCAATCAACATTTTTAATAAAATCAGATATTTTAACTGGGTCAGCTTTTTTGTCATTTAATTTGAAATGGCTGTGAGGTAGTTTACTAATTTTACTTTTAATGATGTAATCAAAAAAGATGACCAAGTAGCCTTTATTTATGTCTCAAAAAGAAGGAAAATGTTGGATCTTAGCACAAAACTTATGGTTTTAAAATTAGATCAAAGATGTTGGTGACAGAATCATTTAAAATTTAAAGTCAGCAAATTTACATGCTGGTAGAGATATGTTTTGATAAGAGTTTAACTAAAGTTATGGTCGTTACCATTATCATTTTTAATGTATGTAAACAAACCATTTGACCAAGCTATAAATGAAAAACTCAAATCCCCTGTAATTAGTAAATCTTTGTATTTTTTTTTAGTTTATTTTTTGGTCTTTATGAAAACCAGATAAAATTACTTTGTTTCAACTAAACCATATGGTCTTTATACACAACCAACTAAACATTTGTCCCTTCTGAAAAAAACTATCCCCCAAATTTGTTCAATTTAACTCATGTTAGTCTTTAACTCTAATAGCTAAACTGTTTCATTAATGAAGAGTCACACTCACCATTATTATTGTGCCCATCACTTCTGTAGAGGTTATATTCATTATAATTCGCAACTGAGATGAATTGAACCATGTTTTACTAGCAGCAATTATTTAGGGAAAGTATAATTTTATTATTACCTTTCAATTCAAGTTTATTTTCTAAAAAGGTGGCATTTAAATACATACATTTCAAGGCTTTTTGTCCATTTTGAATTGGTAATTCTGTTGAGTTGGTAGTATTAATTTTTAATTTCAACGATCTAATTTACATAGATGCCATACCGAAAACTTTTTGGAAGTGTTCTGTTTATTTCATTTCTTATTTTTTTCCTAAACCGAAATCGAGACCTTTT